TCAATAAGATAACCCTTCAATCCCTGGAATCATCCTAGTACAAATAAGATAACCCTTCAATCCCTGGAATTATCCTTGTACCAATAAGGTAACCCTTCAATCCCTAGAATAATCCTAGTAATTTTTCTCTGAACCCTTTTCTCAGATGCCTGCCAGAAGTCTTTTGATCTTTCAAAAATAAAGTTTTGCATATATGATCTTTAGTCTTCTTTAAAAACCTTGTCTAGTCCCCACTTTAATATCAACATAATTCAGGTCAATTCCAATATTTCCTACAGAATGCTCTAGGTCAGGACTATATTTGATATCTTCTCTTGTAAAACTAAGAGAAGAAAACATTTAAAAGCTCGTTGACCTTGTTGGCTTAAACAGAAACCTCGATATCAGCATCCTTTATAGGCCTATTCTACATTTTAAGATCTTGCTTGCCTTTAATATATGTACAAAAATCACTGCTATTAGTTTTAACATAGGAAACTTTGAACTAAAATTTCAATTTTTTTTTCTTGCAAGTAGCAAAACATGAACACTAATTGTAATTCACTGAAAAACATTAAAATATTTGACATAACACTAAATATACGTCAGTACTTGAAGTTAACAACTAGTGTTTGTGTTCTGTAAGTGATATATATACTTATTCTTTCTGTATTGTTACTATCACTAACACTTAGAATGTTTAATATCTCTATTTTGAATACTTTTAATTTGTTATTATTGTACTAGCTTTTAATGTACAGATAATTTTGCATTGTTAGCTTAGTATATGCATTTAGGACTAACCTAAACCTATTAAGCTGGCTCGGCTTTGTGAGATTTTATTGGGCTAACAATCTTAAAAGGGTTACTCAACTGATTAAACAATCCTTTCTAATCTCTGTAAGTAAGAATGGGAAGAAAATGTTTTCTTATCTATACTGATTACTAGGCTGATTTTTATTTTTCATGTGAGTAGTTTGGTAATTATACTTGGGTCCTACTAAATAGTCTCCATATGTGTAAAAAAAGCGAATAGCACATTAGTATTACAACCCCTATTGTACACTTCCCACATGCTACAGCTTCCCAAGCCTGTGAATATCACAAAAGCCAGGAAGAAATATGCAGTTGGAGCTAATAAATGTATAAGGCAAATAAAATAAAATCATCCAGGTGAAAATTCTTTATTTTAAATTAAAAGTCAATAAATTCAATAATTATATCCATCACTAGTAATCACAGTTACATCTCTTGATCAATATGTCAGATCTCTTGCATCATCATACTTGACACTTTGGTTTGCTACAGTTTTATACCAATAAATGCATCAAATATTTCAGTGTTTTTCAGTAAATTACGTTGCTTTAAAGCTACTACTCTCTCGTGCCACTGATGTTTTACTAAAATAACTGTCTTGATACTTCTTGTCATTTCTTCTTGCTAAGCTTAAGCCAACAATTTTATTTAAAGATAATCTGGACATTTTCTGCTTTCCAAATCGGTTGCTTATATCATCTAAATACCAACACATGGTCACCATTGTTTGTTTTTAACATATGCAGTAATCCCACACTTATCTTGTGTAAATTATATAAATTGATAATCAAATAATAGTTTTTTGTTTAAAATATTATTGCAATTTCAAATAATTAACCAGTTACCTTATTTATTTAAATACATTATTTGAATAGAATAAACAAAAACATTTAATCAAGATTTGAGTCATCAGAATATTTTGCAGTCAAGTGCTATACTCACTAAACAGTAATTTTAACTACAATTATCTGATTTCATGATGATGATTTTATTTGGTGAACGTAATAAAGAAAAAAAATTCATGCTTACAAACATTGCATCTTAATAAAACCATAGTGTATATATATATCAAAAAGTAAAAACACTGTACTTAAACAAAGAACCAAACATCAACAAGATACCTTTATTAAGAATTCTACAGTGGTGTGACTTTCACACATATTCTTGTGTCAAGATGTAGTTATAACCTGATGATAAAAATATTTTCCAAACATTGTACATTTGTTACCAAGTTAAACTTGTAATAGTTTTCAACTCGTCTCTAAACTGCATAAGCTTACCTTACCTCAATTTACCTGACATCTTCTCATTGATGAAAATTTCTGTAGCTTTCAAATAATACAATTTAACACACAAATACTTTCCAAATTCACAAACAAATGGAACGTTTGCAGGAACTATAAAAACAATCTTCAACCTATATCTTTATTCTACCATTACATGATAGCCTAATTCTTACTCTGTCTGGTTATACTTAAACTTCTTTTATAGCAAGGTTTTCAACCAAGGTCTTTACACATTCAAAGGGAAATGCAAGAGAAGGATAATAATATCAGAAGGGATGATAGATTCTTAGCCAAAATAGTTATTCTTTGGGATGGGTAGAATAATGTTTAAATCAGTAAGTAGGTTGATTTTCAGTTGTTCAAGATGGATATGTGAACTTTTTTTGTTCATGAATTACACTAAATATACTGATTAAAAAAATATTTTTAAATTTGTAACAGTATTGGGGCCTTAAGTTTGTATCTATAAAAAGCAGTTACTCAAATGCTTTGTAACCAGTCCAGGGAAATAAGTCCTCATAATCCATTATTTATTAGATGAACAAGGACTTAGCCAAAGTAAAGACATATTTCTTTTGTGTTCTTCAAGTTGCTTAAATTTAGTCAAATAATCAGAAAATTCGTATAACATCTAATTATTTTGTAAAAATATAATTTTTTATAGTTGTATATTATATCTTTGCAAATTATTAGTTAATATAGTATTATTGTGTTAACAAGTATAAACAGTGTATAATCTCACTATACTAGCTGCAGTAAGTTTCATTTTTACAATGGTATGATAACAGTTAACTTTTTAAAACCTAGATGTGGAACACTAGAACCAGATTTTCAGTATTTTTTACATGAAAGGAGAGACTTCCACTATTATGATATAGTATTTTGGACTAAGCAGTGTTGACCGTACAGTCCTAACGTAATATAAATAAGTCAAATTTAAAATAATGTTAGTATGTTGTGCAAATGATTTGCTCAGTCGTGTTATAAGCTAGTGGTTTCAAATTTTATATCTTTATTTCTAGTAATGTGATTAATATGAAAAAATTAAATATTTCACATTTTTTGGATTAGAAGTAAATATAATTATTGATAATCGTATGTGAAAGAAAATTACAGCATTGAGAAACAGGATGCAAGTTTTCAAAATTATTTTTAAGTTGTTACTTACACAGTCACCTCACTTGTATTTTCACTTATTTTATGTCAACAACAGTCAATGCAAAAAAATCTTTCATGATAATTTTAAGTTCTAACTGATGAATCATTTCTGTAACAAGTCTACATTATTGGAGCTGCTGGTGTCGTAAACAGTACTAACTTAGACTTTTTGTTAGTGTCTAAAAAGCAAAATGCTCAAAAATTGTGTTTACTTAGAAATAATTAGTTATTGGCTGAGTACTTAACTGGATTGCTGTAGATTCCAGCTGTGTTGATTTCAGAAAATGAGAGTGATCCAGACCCCTGGACTCCTACCCTAGATGTGTACTTGCTTATCCAACATTAAGGAATACAGTAACACAATTATATATCAGAAATGTAATACACTCTAAAAGAACAGTACATTTACACTTTGTTTAACACTTAAGAAAACAGAGTTGATGTTGGGTGAAGTTAGCCATTTGTAACACTTAAATAGCCAGAGAGTTGGTGTTGGATGCTGCTAGCCATTTGTAGCACTTAAGTAGCCAGAGAGTTGGTGTTGGGTGCTGTTAGCCATCTACTTTCCATCTTGTCAGCAGTTCCAAATTAATGACAATGGCAGATAGCCTTAGTAGCTTTACAGTGACAAAAACATGGACATTGAACCCTGAAACCCTCAAATCAAGAGCTCCCCTCCCTCACCATTGAGCTTAACAACAAACTTAATGGCAGTATTTCAATTACATGTAGTTGGAATAATCAGACACCATAACTTCAGTTATTTGATTATTTTCTTGAAAGTTTCCATTATTATACATTATTTGTATATATAGATTATTACTATTTATAAAGAAGTTCTTAAACT